CGGACGATCCCTCCATCGTCTTCAGATAAGCAACCACGAAAATTAATATATCAAAGTTTGATCTATGGTATTAGAAAGTAACTAACATGGCAATCCCTTATGACCTTGAGTACGGCAACATTAGTAATGGAGTTTTTAGGCCCTTCGTGTACGAAGGAAACATCAATCCTCAATATCCTGAGATTTTGGTCGTTAAGACTTACGCAATACAATGTCGTAGAGGTTCGTACACATAGATGCATAGGCAAAATTTTATTCTTTCGTCGACAAACATTCACTTCATATATTTTTATCAAAATCATATCAAGACGGAGCAAGTATACACAGTTGACATTAGTTTGATATCTATACAGTTGCCTGCACTTCCCACATAGACGACTAGCGTCGCCGATTCTACGTTACCCGAAGCGCGCGCTATGCGATACCCGCGAAGCGATCATACAATATTAGTTTCAAGATTTCCGTTGCCTTGTGTGAAGGGCCTTATTGGGGAACATTAAATTACTACCTCAGAGCACTAGACAAAACAATAGGCTCAAATAGACTGACCCATTTGAAACAAGTGTATAAGTTTAAATTATGCAAATATGTCCAATATCCAGATTATACCAATCTTAATTACAGTAAATGCCTAATTGAGGAAATTGCATGCCAATACGTAAGTAAATAAGGCAAAAGATGGGCTGAATTCTTCTCTAAGGGAAGATGAAAAATGGTTATGAGAAGGTTTCTTATTGTTATTTATAAAAATATACATTAACATGAGGAAGTTGAACAAAAGCAAAAAAACAATTGAAAAACATTGGCATTTAAGTTCAATGTTGAATGCAGAATGAGGTGTTTTGATAACATCCTTTCCTGTATACAATAATTGCAACACATAACAATATTTATATAATGGATTTAAAACTATTGACTTAAAGTTTATATTGCATTGAATATTATATGAGACAACATAAATTCTTCACAACTATAAATAATTTTTGTTATTAATTCTCAGACAAGTACATCAATCTTTTTCTTGAGTCCCTTAACTTACAAATAAAAATGGCAGGACAAACTGTCAGTACAATATGTGCTGCTCTTCCGTACATCTCTATCAGCCGTTATATTGGAATTCAGTACCTTTTTAAACAAATTATCTTTTACATAATCCATCTATACTTTCATTGGACTTCTTATACTTTTGTAGTTATTCATGTTTTTTAATACTTTCTTGTTTATGTGATCATAAACTTAAATAAGTAATCTATGTAATGTGTTATTTCTTGAAAAATTAACCTAAAGATTATTTTTATTAATCTTGAGAACTAAACCTATCTTATAAATTCATTCTAAATCTGTACAAACTTTTACATTAGTATTGTCATACAAATTTATTTTCAAATCCATTTCAGACATAATTTAAAGACATACTCGTAAATTATTCTCAACAAGCTTAAATTGTTTTTGAAACAAGTAGATATAGTTATATTAAATCTATGCCATAATCAAACTATTTGCAGAACCATCCTACATTGCATTGCAGTAAACCATTAAAATACTGTCCGAGTTAGGAATAAAATAATTATATTTAGTACCTATCACTTTAACATCATTTATTACAAAAACATAAACATATATATTTATATTTTCAATTACTTTATCTTTTAATATGATAATGTATCTAAATTTAGATGAATATATGACATTTGACCTATTCATATTGTTTGGTATAAAGTGTGCTGAATATAACCTCTTTAACCAAAACTTTCTACTGCCAAAACAAAATTTAAAAAAAATGTTATTCTCTTTGGAATATCAAAGTTTATAATGTGCACACAGGACTTTGGTAACTATATTAAACTTTTGCTAAGATAGTGCCAAATTAAAATATATCCGATCTGTCTCTATAAGTAAAACTCTAAACTACATAATGCATTCTCTGCAATATATTTGTAGTTTTAATAATAAACTTTGCATTTTGACAAAAAAATAGTATGTGAATAGAAAAGAATGGAATTATTATCTGCTTAAGTTTAGTCACAATATATCAATCAAATTTGTCCTTCATTCTTTTATCAATGCAATTAGATTTATGTAATAAAACAATTTTAACCTACTAACTTTGTATTATTTTGCTAAACTTTCATATTTACAAATGTAAACAAAAGTTAAAACATAGTCTTAAATGAAAAAAAATAATGAAAACATTTATCAAGATCATAGAATTAATGACTGGTCATCAAAAATAGAAACACTAATGTTAGCAAACATAAATATTCATAAAGACAAGTTATTGCATCACTAGAGTGTAATAATAAGATGTTTACTCACGTATGGGATGCAGCAGATCGTCGCTGGCGTCGTCCGAGTGGTGCAGCTTCAGGATGGCCGTCAGCCACGCGTGCAATTCCTGCTCATTCTCCGCCACTATACACAGCTGCTCCTCTCGCGTGAACAGCGCTATCACATGCTTCTGCTTCAGATCCAGTCTCCTCGTTATGTTGTAGCAACTCTTCAGAGGCACGAACCTGCGCGGGGCGGCCCCCGCGCGGAACTTCTTCTCCGACTCGTAGTATTCCAGGCGCGCGGGACACTCGTTGGTTTCGGCGCGCAAAACGAAATACTTTTTCTTCATGGTTTTCAACTTTCGGAGGTGGCCCTGGCGCACTACGGCGCCGCCCGATATTGCAGCCATGTCAACGTGCCAGCATCCCAATCCCGAGCCCGCAGACACACGACGAACGCTTAACCTTGAAGTTGTTTACGTGACGAAAGTCACACGGAATTCTAGTCCTAACCGTCGAAGCGACTAAAAATACGTACTATCTCTTTTCAATAGCGCGTAAATAGTAATGCGCTCGGTAATTAATCGAATGGCGTAGCAAATTTGCGTCCGGCGTAGTCCATCGGGCGCCATATGACCGCTCACACTTTAACTCTCTGCCGCGCCACTACGATTCCCGGACGAGATAACAACACTTGCGTCGCGTTGAAAATATCAAGATATATCAACAACAAACACTTTTCAATCCATAATTCGGTACGCTCGCTATTACACTCGGTCATTCACAGACACTTAGAAAGAGATAAAATCATTCATAGTAAACGTAATCTGCACGCCCTTCCGTAGGAACTAGAAACGCAGGGCATGGGAATCACGCCGTCGTCATGCTACTGCAATATCAAAACAATATATTTTTCGCCTTATAACGCCAAAAAGCGACGGTTCAAATAGCAAAATTTGCAAGAATCAAATTACACGACTACTACGTTTGTATGTTGTGCACTTGATTTATAAAAACTCATGTATTTGCGCGTCGTTTTTTATTGGTTCCTCGCTATTGCGTGTCATTTATTCGAACGGCGATTACGAGAAAATATGTAGTACTATAGTAAGTTCGGATTCACGTACACAAAAACATTACTTTACCAAGTGTCAGTCAGTCAGTCTGATTCTCGTTCCAGTAGGTCAAAGTCATTGGTAAATTCTTCAAAATCAAAATAGCAATACTTGCTTAAATCCCCATTATGTTTTTAAATTCTACCAACAAATTGATATAAAAAATTGCAAAAAAGTTTGTCACGAGAAAGAACTAAGTTGTACTGCATACAATGACTAAGTTGTAGTTGTAAAAATGAAATGTACAACGACTATATATTCATTGAAAGCAAGTATTATATGATTTTTCATTACATTTATACATACAAAGGTTGTACTTTTAAATTGTTCGAGGTACAAGTATTCGAACGACAGGTTAATGTTTGTCCAACATTGTCTTTATTTTCTTTTGAAAAAGATAGATAGGACGCTTCATAGAAATGACAGCTCTTGTTTCGGCCCGACTGAAATCACCTGTTAATGCTACTGACAGTTCATTCAATCACTATTATTAGTTCGAATCCTCACCACTGCCACCAAACTATCGCCATCAGCGCCAAAATGGCGAATTACAAATGGACACATAAAACTACGGTTTATAGCCTGTCGATAAAAATTGTAAAATTTTTTAATCCTGTCAACACTCATCAATATGTCCGTCCTCTTTTGTGTCCATTTGTGTCCGTCATTCATTCACTCATTTACTTGCTAAAAAAGGTACAGAAACGGGAATTGTTGGCAAATTTGTTAAGATAAATACGTGTTAAAGATTTGGTTCCCTTTTATTTGGAAATCTATTCGTCTTAAGCTATTTTCAATCCTTAATTGTGAATTTGGATGGAACTTAAGTGAAGTGTTTACATTGTGAAATTTCAATATAATTTAAGTTACCGTGAGATGTAAGTACGCAGCGAAAGGCGAGTTTTTGTAAAGTTTTCGGTGTTTTGAGTGTTTGGTGGTGGTACTTACGGACCGTACCTTTGTACAGTTATCTGATATCGTGGAGAGATAAAAGATTTTCGTTCAGGTTTTATCGTTTTTGTATTATCATCAGTGCAATCTGTGTAAACAGCATTGAGTTGCAACAGTGCCTTGGCTCTTGCGGTTTTGTATTTTGCAACCATCATTAGAGCGTGAAAACCGTGTCAAGCTTGTACCCTTCTATGTTTTCAAACTAATCAAAACTATTCTTAAATTCATTTTTTTCTAATTGGATCATTTATTACAGATATTGAGTCTGAGAAACAATGGCTCACAGATCATAATATCTAAGGTAAGTTGTAAATATTTACATTCCTTAAACATATTTACAAAGTTATGTTATATGATGGAACTGCAGGATATTTGTAATTTAGTCTTAAATATATTTTTACAGCATTATTATGGCATCTGGAACATCATCGTTAGAAAGCAATGGAAGTAATGGTATGTGGCTTTGTCTATCACTTTTCTATGATTGTTTTTAAATAAAATAATTAAAAGCATGTCTAAGTTACACATATATACATTTAATAAAATTTAATACGGGAGAAATATAAGATATTTACGGTACATTTTTGTTAAGCAATATTGTTTTGTTATGCTTCAATGTTTATATAAAATTGTCTTCTTTTCACTCCTTATTGTTTCAAAGTTGATTACTATTGTTTATATAATGTTGTACATTTTTAATTCATCAGACAATTGCTAACAATTTATCTATTTATTAGAAGTTCCTGAACAGCATGATATTGTAAAAACTTTATTATTTATATTCCATTATATTTTCAATTTCAATCATAACGCATATGCCCAAATGACAATGAAGACCCTTGCCATTGGCTAACAATTACCATTACCATGGTGATCTTGCTGTTTTACTGCTATTTACTGAAATAGTGTGGACATCTATAGGCATAGCATAAGTGTAGGGCTTTTACTGTATGAAGGAATTCAAAAACATGTGATTGTTGACACCCTATATAACAAAGAATTGTGTTTGTTTTATTATATTAGTAAGAAAGGTTATTTCATTGTTTTTTTCTATTGAAAACTAAGCAATTTATAACATTTTCCAGAGTCAATATCCAACAGCTATGTGAACAATGAACGGCACAATCCCAGTCAGATACAGAGCATCCCGCATCAAATAGACTATGAGGTGCTCACCGCCAACCAGTGCTATGAGAAGCAGAACTACTCTGTCAAAGGCCACGGCCACAGTATGAGCGGTACTTACGAACCGTTGCAATATGACGTCATCAGCAAACAGACCAATGAAAGCCTGAAGCAGCAATGCGAGAAAGCGCTCCACGACTTAAATCAATTAAGGCGGCAGCATACGGAGACTTCTAGAAGATGTGAACATGTTATGAAGGTAAGGTTTGATACTAGCGGTAGACAGATACTTCATTAATCATGTGAATTAAAAAGGAAGAAAGAATCACGTAACATCACAGAGGTAGAGTGTTAAAATAATGTCTTGTGATTTGTGAGGGTTTAAAAGCTAAAAAACAGAATAATGGACAACCCCTAAATAAATTGATTTTTAAGCAATGCAGCTTGTTAAAGTCCTCATAAGGTTTCAATCTTCTATCAAATTCTGTAAAGATTGTATACTTACCGTATAGTTGTAAAAATAAAAAAGATAAATTGACATTCTATTTTTCATTGATATTAGTGGCGTTATTTATTCTATTTTTTTTTTGTATTCTGTTATAGGAGTTGGAATATTTCCGCGGTCAGCACCGGGCAGCTATGAACCAGTTGGATGTGTCAGCTCAGGAGGCCAGCACTCTGCGCAGCAAGTATGGTGACCTGCTAAATGACAATCAGCGGTAAGATATCCAGGATATACTACGATTTTTATTCTATTTTTTACATAGTTTTATCTGTAATTTTATGTATACAATACTGAGATTTTAATTAAAAAATGTTTCCAACGGTTTGTGTTTTCAGTCTGGAGCGCGAGGTGCAGCACCTGCAGCAGGGCGGCGCCCCCGAGGGCAGCTCGGACGCGCTCGTACACACCCTCAGGAAATATGAATCACTTAAAGAGGAATTTGATTGTTTCCAGAAAAGGTAACAAAATCAATTGAAAGCTTTTTTTTAGTCAAATACTTCTCAGAACATTTTTAAAATTTGTAATATTTATTGTACTTGATTTTAACGCATTGTATACGATAACTATCTTCAGCCTGCGACTCCGTCTGCGTCGAATAAAAAAAACTTAGCAAGTAGCCTATGTGATCTTGAATAGTATGTACTTCATCTGTGACAAATTTCAGTTAAATCCGTTGATAGAGATACCTCTTAAAAACATCCATGTATTCATCCAAGCTTTCAAATTTACAATATACTAGGTGTTGCTCGTCTTTGCTTGCGTAGAATTAAAAAATATGGTCTATATTACTCAGTGGTAACATTTTGAAACCACCCCAGTAGTGTTTGAGTTATTTCACTAAAAATGCAAACCATTCCTATTTATAATATTAGTGTAGAGTTACGATAGTATAATTATTAAAGAGAATATGAACGTGTGTAGATACGACGACCTGATAGAGAGTCACAACACGACGCTGGAGAAGCTGCGCAGCGCGCAGGAGGAGAACTCCCGCCTCAAGACGCAGTGCCACGACCTCACGCAGGAGCGCAACGCCGTGGTCTGTATATACACTATTTACTACATAACACTATATCTATACATCTACACATCTATATTCTATACAAATAATAAAAATACAGGGCTCCTGAGTGATTTATAGAACTGAGGTACTGAGTGCCAGAGAACTTGTTAGCGACTGATCGACTGAGCTGCCTCCTTGCAAAGTCTTTTATGAAACCACCAGCCGCTACTACTTCCATTTCTATTATTATGTAATATACGAATAATATTTATTTTACGCTAAAAAAAAAATTAACTGTTAGCCAATTCTATCAAGATAAGTAATATCCAAATATTAAATTTTGCATTGAAGTACTATGCCTTTTTTTATTTACGAATTTTAGAAATTTATGACTTTGTTACAAAATTGTTAATCAACGATCATTGACCGCCTGGTTCCTATATTAGGCTGTAGACTTTGTAACCAGGATTCTTCTAATGGTAATTATTTAGTACTTTTAGACATCTTATTTAATTGATACTGTTGCTTTAAACTCAGAGCAACACTTCTCGTCCAGACCCAGGTTGCGCGCCAATATCCATACTTCTAGTGACATTGACAGCTGTCAGAGAGGGACGTGACGTTTATGCCGATAATCTAGAGTTGCGCCAATTTTACAGCACGGTACTAATTTTGTAACTTAACAGTATTTATAGTAATTGAAATATAA